GAATGTGATCCAAGTTCGATTCTTGGAAGAATTATTAAAATATATAAGAGATTTGACCGAGTGGACGATGGTGGTAACCTTGAGTTTTATTAAGAAGCAATTCTTCATGGGTTCGAATCCCATATTCTCTGTTTTAATTTAATTTGATATTAATTGTAATTAATTTCTCATTAGCTCAATGGTAGAGCAGAATACTTCTAATATTCCGATTCTAGTTCGAATCTAGGATGAGAGTTGGATTTTATTCCTTTTTAAATAAATTATAATTAACAACCTAATATTAGGATTACCTTTTTTTTTTATATTGTTTTTTTATAAAGTTTTGTATTTTCTATATGTAACACTTTACATTTATTACTTGCTTTATTTCAAAATAATTATAAATTAAATCAAAAATTTAAACTAAATGTTTTATACATCTACTCTTTTATCTATATTAGAAGTAATATTACTTATATTACCTGCTTTATTAGCTGTAGCTTTTGTAACAGTAGCTGAAAGAAAAACAATGGCTAGCATGCAAAGAAGACTAGGACCTAATGCCGTAGGGTATTACGGACTACTTCAAGCTTTTGCGGATGTTTAAAATTAATTTTAAAAGAATATGTAGCACCAACACAAGCTAACACTATTCTATTTTTCTTAGGCCTGTTATTACACTAGTTTTTGCTTTATTAGGTTACGCAGAATACCTTACGGACCTGGTTTAGTTTTAAACGACATGGAACTTGGTATATTATATATGTTAGCTGTTTCATCATTAGGGACATATGGTATTTTATTAGCAGGATGAAGTGCTAATAGTAAATATGCATTCTTAGGTTCTCTTAGAAGTACAGCCCAATTAATTAGTTACGAACTTGTTTTAAGTTCAGCAATTTTATTAATAATTATGATTACTAGTAGTCTTAATTTAAATATGAACATACAAGCTCAAAAAGCAGTATGACTTTTATTACCATTATTCCCTGTTTTCTTAATATTCTTTATAGGTACTATAGCTGAAACAAATAGAGCTCCTTTTGATTTAGCTGAGGCTGAATCTGAATTAGTTAGTGGATTTATGACAGAACACGCGGCAGTTGTGTTTGTATTCTTTTTCTTAGCTGAATATGGTAGTATCTTATTAATGTGTATATTAACTAGTATTCTTTTCATAGGAGGATACTTATCAGGATTTGACCTAATTTACTGATTTAATACTATAAATAATATTTGAGCATATATTTTCGATATTGATTGAGTAGTATCTTCAGAATACTATACTATAAAAAATTATGTAGCTAGTTTTGCTGAAAGTGGTCTTTTCTATGGTATTATTATAGGATTAAAAAGTGCTATTTTTGTATTTGTTTTCATATGAGTAAGAGCGTCATTCCCTAGAATACGTTTTGATCAATTAATGTCATTCTGTTGAACAGTATTATTACCATTAATGTTTGCATTTATTGTTTTATTACCTTGTACTTTATATTCATTTGATGTATTTGTACTAAATATAGCTATATAATATAAAAATTAATAGTAATTAAATTAATAACTTTATTATAAATTAATTGTTTTAATTTAATTATATTATTAGAAACATTAGTAATATACTGTAAAATAATATATTACTAATTTCGTCATATAATCATAGTATATGATGTGAACTATGTCTTATCAAAATTATATTAAAAAAAATGTTATTATCTCTTTTACTTATTATTCCTATAATAGGAATATTTATTATATCTAATTTAAAAGCTTATTCTGTAGGTTCATCTTTAATTGAAGCAGAAAATACTCAAAAAATAAAAGTTATAGCTTTAGTTACAGCTAGTGTAAATATGATTTTATCTTTTGTTGTTTATGTATTTTTTAATTCAAGTAGCAATCAATATCAATTTGTACAAGAACATTATAATATACAATCATTTGATATTTATCTAGGTGTAGATGGAATTTCTATTTATTTCGTTTTATTAACAACAATAATAATGCCAATCGCATTATTAGCTAACTGAAACTCAATAAAAGAAAATTTAAAATTTTATTTAATAACTATATTATTATTAGAAACATTATTACTTGCAGTATTTATGGTTTTAGATATATTATTATTTTATATTTTTTTTGAAAGTATATTACCACCTTTATTTTTATTAATTGGTTTATTCGGATCAAGTAATAAAGTTAGAGCTAGTTATTATTTTTTCTTATATACATTATGAGGATCTTTATTCTTATTATTATCTATTTTAACTATGTATTCTATAATGGGTACAACAGATTTTGATGCCTTATTTAAAACAAATTTTGACTATACAATGCAATTTGTATTATTTGGTGGTGTATTTATAGCTTTTGCTGTAAAAACTCCTACAATATTTTTAAATAATTGATTATTAAAAGCTCACGTTGAATCTCCTTTAGGTGGAAGTATAATACTAGCAGGTATTGTATTAAAATTAAGTTTATACGGTATATTTAGATTAATATTACCTATATTACCTAAAGCTACTTTAGATCTTACTTTTATAGTATATACTATAGGTGTAATTACTATTTTATACGCAAGTTTTAGTACATTAAGAACTGTAGATGTTAAAGAATTAATTGCTTACAGTTCTGTTTCTCATGCTGCTGTATATTTAATAGGTGCATTCAGTAATACAATACAAGGTATAGAAGGAAGTATAACTTTAGGTTTAGCTCACGGATTTGTATCTAGTGGTTTATTTATATGTGCAGGTGGAATATTATATGACAGATCTGGAACTAGAATGATTTATTTATACAGAGGTGTAGCTCAACTTATGCCTTTATTCTCTATATTATTCTTTATCTTATCATTAGGAAATTGTGGTGCTCCTTTAACATTAAACTTTATAGGAGAATTTATGTCTCTTTACGGAGGTTTGAAAAATTACCTGTATTAGGTCTATTTGCCGCTACTTCTATTGTATTCTCCGCTGCATATACTATATATATGTTTAATAGAATTACATTTGGAGGTTCTTTCACTAAATTCTTTGAAGAAAATATTTCTGATACAACAAAAAGAGAATTTACATTATTATTAGTTCTTGTTTTATTTACAGTTATCCTTGGAATATACCCTTCTTTAATCTTAGACAGCTTACATTATCCTGTAGTTAATTTAATTTATAGCTTTCAATCTATATAATACATTATACTAAAAAATTATTTATTAAGATAATTTAGAATAAATATATTTATTCTCGTTATTCTTTTAATTCAATACGAACCAAAGGTTAAAAACCTATAATTAAAATAGTTTTATATTAAACATAAATACAAAGTATTCAATAAAAATTAAAAAACACAACACAATGCCTCAATTAGTACCTTTTTATTTTATGAATGAAGTAGTATATGGTTTTGCTGTAATAGTAATAGTACATTACATATTATCAAAATACATATTACCTAGAATAATTAATTTATTTATATCTCGTTTATTTACAGTATTATTAGCTGACTTAGGAAACGAATTATCTTGATAATATTAAATTATGAAATTAATATTAGTTTATAATATTATGCAAACAATCTGATTTTTAAAGGCTTACATTAAATAGTACTTAATGTACAATTTGAATACAAATATTTTATTAAATACAGAAATTACTAGTCCTCTAGACCAATTTGAAATAAGAGACCTATTAAGTATAGACGCTCCTATTTTTAACCATTTACATATATCTTTAACTAACATAGGATTATACTTAGTAATAGGACTTATCCTTATATTATCTCTTAGTATCTTAACTACAAATAATAATAAATTAGGAAGTAGTAGATGATCTATTAGCCAAGAATCTTTATACGCAACAATTCATAGTATAGTTGTAAATCAAATTAACCCTAAAAGCGGTCAAATTTATTTCCCATTTATTTATACTTTATTTATTTTCGTTTTAATAAATAATTTAATAGGATTGGTACCATATAGTTTTGCAGCTACAAGTCATTTTATTTTAACTTTTGCTCTTAGTTTTACTATAGTTTTAGGTGCAACTATATTAGGATTCCAAAACTATGGATTAAAATTCTTTTCTTTATTAGTTCCAGCTGGTTGTCCTTTACCTTTATTACCATTATTAGTTTTAATAGAATTTATATCTTATTTAGCTCGTAATGTTTCTCTTGGATTAAGATTAGCTGCTAATATCCTTTCAGGTCATATGTTATTAAACATATTAGCTGGATTTACTTACAATATAATGACTTCTGGTATTATTTTCTTCTTCTTAGGATTAATTCCATTAGGATTTATTGTAGCTTTCTCTGGATTAGAATTAGGTATTGCTTTAATACAAGCACAAGTGTTTGTAGTTTTATCTTCTAGTTTTATTAAAGATGGATTAGACTTACATTAATTTTATAAGAATCTTTTTTTTTAGGAGTTTGTGATAAATAACCATATTGGTATAATAATCTTGCTATAAATAGTAAGTTTATTTAAATTTGAAAAGTTATAAATATAAATCTATATATATAATTATAAAATATGAAAATAAAGGATTGTAAATAGAAATTAAAAAGATTTTTAGATAGTTTTTTATATAAAAATACAAATTTTAAATTGCGGACAATAACTTTCCTATAGAAATTTATTATTTTAGTGACATGGTTGAAAAATCAGAATATAGCTTAAATTTATCCTTCTAATTAAAAATTAGAATTATTAGTGATGTGTTTTACGCATCACAAAAAGTATGAACTAGGTAATAATTAGTTGAGTTTGGTGATGGCTCTGACTGAACGCTGTTCAAGTGCTTGACACATGCTAATCGTACGATTAATTTAATGAATAATTTTATTAATAAGTGGTGAACAGGTGAGTATATGATATCTCGGCCAACCTTAAAGTGAGGATAAATTCCTTATAATGATAAAAGGGCAACTGCTTTAAGAGGAACACGGATATCTTCGAAATAGGTAGTAGTTAAGGTGATGACTTAACTAGCTTAGCATTTTCGTAACCGTAACTGAAAAGTTGATCGGTCACATTGGGTCTGAAAAAAGCCTAATGCAATATAACGTACAGCAGTGGGGAATCTTGGTCAATGGCCTAACGGCCGAACTGGCAACTTGAAAGAATGGGAAGTTTGAAAATAGAAATATAAGTAAAATTTAATTGATTAATCGAATAAAATTTTAAATACATTGATATAATGACGATATGTATATACGGTCTTGACAAAATACGTGCCAGCAGTCGCGGTAATACGTATGAGACTAGCGTTATTCATCTTAAATAGGTTTAAAGGGTACTCAAACGGTCAAATTATCCTTTAATAGGTAATATTTGTCTAGAGTTTTATGTAAGAAGACAGTACTTAGAGTGGAGAGATTAAATTCTGTGATACCAAAGGGACTGGCAACGGCGTAGGCAGTCTTTTATGTAAAACTGACGTTGAAGGACGAAGGCATAGATCGCAAACAGGATTTGACACCCCAGTAGTCTTTGCAGACAATGATGAATGCCGTAGATTAGATGAGAATTTAGTCTATCAATGAAAATAAAAGCATTTCACCTCAAGAGTAATGTGGCAACGCAGGAACTGAAATCACTAGACCGTTTCTGACACCAGTAGTGAAGTATGTTATTTAATTCGATGATCCACGAAAAACCTTACCACAATTTGCATATTACATTTTAATGTAATACAGGTGTTGCACGGCTGTTTTCAGTTAATGTTGTGAAACTGTGGTTTTTCCATGAATTAACAGAATCCTTTGCTTTATTTATTATTCTAATAATTATTATTAGTAATTTTATACAGCACTCTTTTTAAAGAATGAAAAGATAAAAAGGAATAAGACAAGTCATCATGGCCCTTATGTTGTGGGCTATAGACGTGCCACATGTTCCTTAACAAAGAGAAGCAAAAATGTGAATTTAAGCTAATCTCAAAAAAAGGATATAAATTATACAAGGATTGTAGTCTGAAACTCGACTATATGAATAAGTAATTACTAGTAATCGTGAATCACCATGTCACGGTGAATTTGCTTCGGATTGGTACTAATTACTCGTCGCATGCTGAAAGGAGCGCACGTAATAAGTTTGCTCTTTTGTTATAATCTCTTCTAATATTTAAATTAGTAAATTCTAATCGAATTCTTCGCATACGTGTCTCTGATTAGTGTTAAGTCGAAATACGGTTCGTGTAGTGGAAGTTGCACGGGGTTTTTAGGAAAAAAATATAAAAATGTCTGATACCATTTAAAAATGATAAATTACTTCAAAGAAAACTATTTATCTAGGTATTATTGATCTTAATAAAGGTTTGATGAATTTAAAACCTAATTAACTAGAGTTTTAAATTAAGAGTTTGAATCTCTTCCTTATATATAGACATTTAAATTAATATACAAAGGAGAGTCCCTTTATTGGCAAGAAGGGTTGAACTGTAAATTCAATAGCACTATGCTTCTAAGAGTTCGAATCTCTTTTCTCCTAAAAAGCCTTTATAGCTCAACGGTAGAGCATAATACTGTTAATATTATGATAGATGTTCGATTCATCTTAAGGGCTTAACCGTATTTAAAATAATAAATACGGAAGTTTATAATAAATTTAAATATATTGACTAATTTAGTAAGAAGCCAATTTCAAGACCATCCTTTTCATTTAGTGTCTCCGTCTCCTTGACCTTTATATACAAGTATAGCCTTATTTAGTTTAACATTAAGTAGTGCTTTATCTTTACATAGTTTTAATAACGCTTATATATTCTTTTATATAGCACTTATAACAGTTATAGCTTCTATGTCTTTATGATTTAGAGATATAATATCTGAAGGTACATTTTTAGGTAACCATACATTAGCTGTACAAAAAGGACTTAACTTAGGTGTTATTCTTTTTATAGTTTCTGAAGCTTTATTCTTCTTAGCTATTTTCTGAGCTTTCTTCCATAGTGCTTTAACTCCTACAGTAGAATTAGGTGCTCAATGACCTCCTATGGGAATAGAACCTATAAATCCTTTTGAATTACCTTTACTTAATACTATTATATTATTATCTAGTGGAGCTACAGTTACTTACGCTCATCATGCTTTAATTAAAGGAGATAGAGCTGGATCTTTATACGGATCTATTTTTACAGTAGTATTAGCGGTAATATTTACATTCTTCCAAGGAGTTGAATATAATGTTTCATCATTTACTATTAGTGACGGTGCATTTGGAACATGTTTCTATTTTGCTACAGGTTTCCATGGATTACACGTTATAATTGGAACAATCTTCTTAGCAGTAGGTTTATGAAGAATTTACGCTTACCATTTAACTGACCATCATCATTTAGGGTTTGAATCTGGAATCTTATACTGACATTTTGTAGACGTTGTTTGATTATTTTTATACGTTTCAGTGTATTATTGAGGTTCTTAATTAAAAGAGTATTAGAATTTAAATGTTTAGTAAATAATTTTTTTTAATGTTTAAATTTTCACTATTATTTTTAATATAATTAATGTCATATAGAATAAATATATATATATATATTTATTTATTAAAATTAACTTTAAGGGACTTTAGTATAATGGTTAATACATATGACTTTTAATCATTAAAATATCGGTTCGAATCCGGTAGGTCCTAGATTTTTTTTCTAAACTATATTAAATTAATCTTTTTATAGAATTATTAGAAATAAGATGTACATAGTTTACAAACAATAAAATCTTTATTATAATTGCGATTATCGTTCAATGGTAGGACCCTTGTCTTCCAAACAAGCTATGTCGGTTCGAATCCGACTAATCGTAAAAAATTGAATTAGTAACTTAATTGGTAAAGGATTTCCTTGTCACGGAAATAGATGTCGGTTCGATGCCGATCTAGTTCGCTTACGGAAAGGTCGCTATTGGTAGGGTAAGCTGTTTGCTATACAGTGCTTTTTAAGTCTGGGAGTTCGAATCTCTTTCTTTCCGTTACAATTTTAGTATTCTAATATAAATATTACTTTTAAATTTAATATATCTATATTAGAAAATAACTCTTCCCTATTAGGGTAATTTTAAAATTAAGATGACAAATTTGTTTATTATAGATGAAATGTATACTAGTGGGTTTAAAACAGGTATGTTGGATATTGTATCTTTATTTATTATATTATGTGGTGTATTAATTATAATAAGTAAAAATCCTATAGTTTCTGTACTATTTTTAATTGGATTATTTGGAGGTGTAGCCTCATATTTAATTTTATTAGGTTTAAATTTTATAGGGTTTTCTTACTTAATTGTTTATATTGGAGCAGTGTCTATATTATTTTTATTTATATTAATGTTAATTAATATAAGAATTAGTGAATTACAAAGTAACACTAAAAATAGTATACCTTTAGCTTTATTTATAACAATTTTCTTTAATTATTCACTTTTCCAAGTATTACCTTACGATTTAGCAATATTAAATAATAATAATAATTATATAAACAATATATTATATTATATATCTTTAAATAAACAAGAAACTATTAATGATAGTAAGTTATTAAATACTAATAATGATTTATATTTTGCTACAAGTAATAGCTGAGATGGTAATTTAATAGAAACAAGTCATATTTCTAGTATAGGAAATATTTTATATACTACTAATAATATGTGATTAATCTTAGTTAGTTTAATTTTATTATTAGCTATGGTAGGTGCGATAATAATAACTATTAAATCTAATAGAAATTCTTTATAGTGATTAACATAAAAAAATCTTTATAATTCTAAAAGAAATTAGCTCAGTGGTAGAGCAGCCGTTTTACACACGGAAGGTCGAGTGTTCAAATCACTTATTTCTTATCAATAGGGAATATAGTTTAATTGGCAAAACAAGAAGCTTCAACCTTCAAATTCTTAGTTCAAGTCTGAGTATTCCTGAGTAACAATAATTAAAAAAGATATAAGTAATAATTGTTCACATATATAAGCCTAGGCTAAAGTGAATTTAACTTAAACGTGATATTTATAGGTTATTAATAATAAAAATTATGATACAAGCAGCAAAAATTATAGGAACAGGATTAGCTACAACAGGTTTAATAGGAGCAGGAGTAGGAATAGGTGTAGTATTTGGTGCCTTAATTCTAGGTGTTGCAAGAAATCCTTCTTTAAGAGGTCAATTATTTTCTTATGCAATTTTAGGTTTTGCCTTCTCAGAGGCTACAGGTTTATTCGCACTTATGATGGCATTCTTGCTTTTATACGTTGCTTAATAAATTTGAAATTTAATCCTTTTATAGGAATATTACGTACTTAATTTTCTAAAAATTTAATGTATTTAATTTTAAAAAATTTACAGTTAGACGCTCCTAGTCCTTGAGGAATTTATTTCCAGGACAGTGCTACTCCTCAAATGGAAGGATTAGTAGAATTACATGATAATATTATGTATTACTTAGTATTGATTTTATTTGCAGTAGGATGAATTTTATTTTCTATAGTTAGAAATTACGTAGAAACTAAATCTCCTATAGCTCATAAATATTTAAATCATGGGACTCTTATCGAATTAATTTGAACAATAACTCCAGCTATTATTTTAATATTAATAGCATTTCCTTCTTTTAAATTATTATATTTAATGGATGAAGTTAATGACCCTTCAATGACTATTACAGTAGAAGGTCATCAATGATATTGAAGTTACCAATATCCAGACTTTATAGATTCAAATGATGAATTTATAGAATTTGATTCATATATCGTACCAGAATCTGACTTAGAAGAAGGTGGATTAAGAATGTTAGAAGTTGATAACAGAGTTATTGTACCTGAAGAAACACATATTAGATTCGTTATTACATCTGGAGACGTTATACATTCTTATGCCGCTCCAGCTTTAGGAATAAAATGTGATGCTTACCCAGGTAGATTAAACCAAGTTTCTACTTTTATTAACAGAGAAGGGGTATTCTATGGACAATGTTCAGAAATTTGTGGAATTTTACATTCTTCTATGCCTATAGTTATAGAAAGTGTAGGTTTAGAAAGTTTCTTATCATGATTATTATCAGCCTAAGATTACTTTACTTTCTATAGAAAAAATTAAAATTATAGATTCTATAATGTAAAAAAAAATCTAGTGGAAGAACTTTTGAATGAATGTATATTCTCTTAAAAGAGTAGTACAGCTATTTAATTAAATAGTCTAACGGGTATTATCTTAATGGTAAAGAATGACATTACGGCCGTCAAGTTATGAGTTCAAGTCTCATATACCCTTGGTAACTATTGTATTATATAAATATAATACTTTTTACAGATAAGGTTGAATTAAATCCAACCTTATTGCCGAATAATTTGATGAAAAATAAATATAATAATATGAGTCTAACATTAGTACTTTTTTTAATAGGAGTTTTAGGGTTTGTATTTAATAGAAAAAATATTATATTAATGCTTATTTCTATAGAAATAATGTTAGTATCAATAACATTTTTTATATTAATAAGTTCTATAAATATAGATGATATAATAGGACAAACTTATGCTATATATATTATAATAATAGCTGGAGCAGAGTCTGCAATAGGTTTAGGTATTTTAGTAGCTTTTTATAGATTAAGAGGAAGTATAGCAATAGAATATAAATAATGTATTTAAGTATAATAGTATTACCTTTATTAGGTTCAATAATTTCAGGTTTTTTTGGTAGAAAAGTTGGTATAAGTGGAGCTCGTTTTTTAACTAGTTCAAGTATAATAATAACAACTTTAATGGCCATTATAGCTTTTTTCGAGGTAGGTTTTAATAATAGTCCTGTATTTTTACATTTATTTAAATGAATAAACAGTGAAACTTTTAATATAGTTTGAAGTTTTCAGTTCGATAGTTTAACAGTATCTATGTTAATACCTGTTTTAATTATTAGTTCTTTAGTTCATATATATTCTATCTCTTATATGAGTAGTGATCCCCATAATCAAAGATTTTTTAGTTATTTAAGCTTATTTACATTTATGATGATAATACTTGTAACAGCTAATAATTACTTATTAATGTTTGTAGGGTGAGAAGGTGTTGGAGTATGTTCATATCTTTTAGTTAGTTTCTGATTTACTAGAATTGCAGCTAACCAAAGCTCTATGTCTGCCTTTTTAACTAACAGAGTAGGGGATTGTCTTTTAACTGTAGGTATGTTTGCTATATTATGATCTTTAGGTAATTTAGATTATACTTTAGTGTTTTCATTAACTCCTTATATTAATGAAAATACTATTATTATTATAGGAATATGTCTATTAATAGGTGCCATGGCTAAAAGTTCACAATTAGGTCTTCATATTTGATTACCTATGGCTATGGAAGGTCCTACACCTGTATCTGCTTTAATTCACGCAGCTACTATGGTTACAGCGGGAGTTTACTTATTAATTCGTTCTTCTCCTTTAATTGAATATAGTTCAACTATATTATTAATATGTCTATGATTAGGAGCTGTTACTACTGTTTTCAGTTCTCTTATAGGTTTATTCCAACAAGATATAAAAAAAATTATAGCTTATTCTACTATGAGTCAATTAGGTATGATGGTTATAGCTATAGGTTTATCTTCTTATAATATTGCATTATTTCATTTAGTAAACCATGCTTTCTATAAAGGATTATTATTCTTAGGAGCGGGATCTGTAATTCACGGAGTAGGTGATAATCAAGATTTAAGAAAATATGGAGGGCTAAAAGAATATTTACCTTTAACATATTCTGTTATATTAATAGCTAGTCTTAGTTTAGTAGCTTTCCCTTTCATGACTGGATTCTATAGTAAAGATTTTATATTAGAATCTGCTTATGGTCAATATCATTTTAGCAGTATCGCTGTATACTTTATTGCTACAATAGGTGCAATATTTACTACTTTATACTCAGTTAAAATTTTATACTTAGCTTTCTTAGCTAACCCTAATGGATCAGCTAAATATTATCCATCAAAAGATAAAAATGTTAGCCATGAAGGAGATATTTTCTTAATTTTACCTTTAGTAGTTTTAGCTATTTTCTCTATCTATTTTGGATTTTTAACTAAAGATATTTTCATTGGTTTAGGTTCAGGATTCTTTACAGATAATAGTATATATATCCACCCTAACCATGAAATATTAATAGATACAGAATTTGCTGTACCTACTTTATTTAAACTATTACCTTTCTTCTTTACAATATTCTTTACAATTATAGCAATAGTTTATTTTGAATTCTTACCAAATCTAGTTAATAGTTTCAAATTATCTGGTTTAGGTTATAATATATATGGATTCTTTAATCAACGTTTCTTAGTAGAATTCTTTTATAATAAATATATTGTTAATGTAGTTTTAAATATGGGAGGTCAAACAACAAAAATTTTAGATAAAGGAAGTATAGAAATTTTAGGTCCTTTTGGATTAGAAAAAACTTTATTAAATTTAAGTAAAATTATTTCTGGTTTAAATACAGGAATTGTTACAAATTATGCTTTATATATCTTAACTGGATTCGTTGTATATGTATCTTTATATCTATCATTAGGAGATAGTTTAGACTTATTTATATTAGTATCATTATTCTCTATAATTATATTAGTATTTTATAATTCAAAAACAAGAAGTGTACAATAATAAATTTATTATTTAATCTAGTCTAATATTTAGTTTAATTTACTAAACAACTTAAAAAAAAATAGTAAAATTTTTTAATATGTAGAAACAATTTAAAATATTCTACATAGTTTTTATAAGAAATATTTAGTTATTTCTTATTTTACTTATTAATTTATTGTATATATTACATTATAGATTTTATTTGTTTTTAATATTTCTATTTAAAATAAATATTTATTTGTGTAAAGATTTAGTTAGTAAAAACAAAATAACCAAAATCGAAAATAGGATTTAAATAAACAAAGTTTTATTTTTCTTATCATTAAATCAAATAAATATAAATAATTTTTTTTATAAAAAAAAATGAGAATTTTTAAAAGTCATCCTTTCTTAAAATTAGTTAATGCTTATCTTATAGATCATTCACAACCAACTAACATAAATTATATGTGAAATTTTGGTTCTTTATTAGGAGTATGTTTAGTTATCCAAATCGTAACAGGTGTTACTTTAGCAATGCACTATAACCCTAGTGTAGCTGAAGCTTTTAACTCTATAGAACATATTATGAGAGACGTAAATAACGGATGATTAATACGTTACTTACATAGTAATACAGCTTCTGCTTTCTTCTTTTTAGTATACTTACATATAGGAAGAGGTATGTATTATGGATCATATAGAGCACCAAGAACATTAGCTTGAGTTTTAGGAACAATAATCTTTATAGTAATGGTTGTTACAGCCTTTTTAGGTTATGTTTTACTTACGGTCAAATGAGTTTATGAGGTGCTACTGTTATTACTAACCTTATAAGTGCTGTACCTTGAATAGGTCAAGATATAGTTGAATTTATCTGAGGAGGTTTTTCAGTTAATAATGCAACTTTAAATAGATTCTTTGCTTTACACTTTGTATTACCTTTTGTATTAGCTGCTTTAGTTTTAATGCATTTAATAGCTTTACACGAAACTGCTGGTGCAAGTAATCCTTTAGGTGTTCCAGGTTATTATGACAGAATACCTTTTGCTCCTTACTACTTATTTAAAGATTTAATTACAATATTTATCTTTATTTTTGGATTAAGTTTATTTGTATTCTTTATGCCTAATGTTTTAGGAGATAGTGATAATTATATTATGGCTAATCCAATGCAAACTCCTCCTGCTATAGTTCCAGAATGATATCTTTTACCATTCTACGCTATATTAAGATCTATACCTAACAAATTATTAGGTGTTATAGCTATGTTAGCTGCTATATTAATTATACTAGCTTTACCTTTAGTAGATTTAGGTAAATCTAAAGGTTTACAATTTAGACCTTTAAGTAAAGTAGCTTTCTGAATTTTTGTAGCTAATTTCTTAATATTAATGCAATTAGGAGCAAAACATGTTGAATCTCCATTTATAGAATTTGGACAAATTAGTACAGTTTTATATTTCTCTTATTTCTTAATAATAATACCTGTAGTTAGTGTAACAGAAAATATATTAGTTGTTTTATCAACAAATAACAGCTTTCTCGGCAAGTAAATTTGGTATAAAATCTAATTTAAATATAAGAAATTTTCATACCACTAGAACTCTTTCGACAGATATATATACTTTAACGATAGAACTTACAGAAGTACTTAGATTAAGTATTGGTTATTATGAAATGGCTATAGATACATTTGATTTTGCTAATAGTATGAGTAAAGAATACCGAATAGAATTTGGTCAAAACTTTACTAGTTGAGATGAGGGGTTAGAAAATTATCAAGCAGTTAGATGAGATGAAGTAGAAGGGGCTAAAGGCGAGTGTCTTGACAAAGTTAGTCAAGCTACAACTAAGTTTATTTCTAGTCAATGAATATTAGATGATTTAAAAGCTAAAGATCCTAACTGTCTTGCAAATAATTCCCGTATTTTTCAACTTTTACAAGAAGCCACTGCTAGACAAGCTGATTGAAAAGCTTTAGCGGCTAAAACAGATTGAGCTATGTAAAGTGAATATTTAGTATTAATCTTAAAAATATTCTTAATAATTTCATATAAAATTTTTTAGATGTATTAATGAGTTAAATTTAGATACTAAATTTCATTATTAATACACGAGTTGTGCATATAGATGGCTTTCTATACTTTGATTGCAAACCAAAAGAAAAATGGGTTCGATTCCCACGTAACTCTCACATTTATATCTATTTAAATAACTATTTTTTATAAGTATTCAAACAAATATAATCAACAAGAATAGTATTACTTTTATCATAATATAATAAAAGATATTTTTTTTAACTTAAAATCTATTGTACTTAAATCAATATTTGTAGTAATTAAATAAAAATTTTATAGAAATAATAGTAAAGAGATAGAAGAAATACTAAATTTAATTTACAGATTAGGGCCGGGTGGTTAGGCGCTCCTTTTGGGTAGGAGAAGAGTTGCGTTCGAACCGCAATAATCTGAATGGTTTCTATATAAATATTAATATTTTATTAAAAACCTTGTATTTATGTAAACATTTACATTTATACTTTTGATAGTTAATAATTATTTTTATTTTAATCATCAAAAATTTCATTATAAATCTACATTTTTATTTTGCTAAGTAATACTATTATGTAAATAGTACTTTAAATAAATACAAATAAACAAATGGCTCAAAGTCAAAAAAACAATATATTAAATTTAGAATCTTCAATTTCTATGGGAATTGAAAGATGATTCTTATCAACAAATGCTAAAGATATAGGTACTTTATACTTAATTTTTGCTTTATTCTCAGGGTTATTAGGTACAGCTTTTTCTGTTTTAATTAGATTAGAATTAAGCGGTCCAGGTGTTCAATATATCTCAGATAACCAATTATATAATAGTATTATTACAGCTCATGCTATATTAATGATATTCTTTATGGTTATGCCTGCCTTAATCGGAGGTTTTGGTAATTTCTTAATGCCTTTAATGGTAGGTGGGCCTGATATGGCTTTCCCTAGATTAAATAATATCAGTTTCTGATTATTACCTCCTTCTTTATTATTATTAGTATTTTCTGCATGTATAGAAGGTGGAGCTGGAACAGGTTGAACAGTTTACCCTCCTTTATCAGGATTACAAAGTCATAGTGGTCCAAGTGTAGATTTAGCTATTTTTGCTTTACATTTATCAGGGGTAAGTAGTTTATTAGGTGCTGTAAATTTCATAACTACAATAGTTAATATGAGAACACCTGGTATAAGATTACATAAATTAGCTTTATTTGGATGAGCTGTAGTTATTACAGCTGTATTATTATTATTATCTTTACCTGTATTAGCTGGTGCTATTACAATGTTATTAACAGATAGAAATTTTAATACTTCATTCTTTGAAACAGCTGGTGGAGGTGATCCTATTTTATTCCAACATTTATTCTGATTTTTTGGACATCCTGAAGTTTATATTTTAATCGTGCCTGCTTTTGGTATAATAAGTACAACTATCTCAGCTAGTTCAAATAAATCTATATTTGGATATATAGGAATGGTATATGCTATGATGTCTATCGGAATCTTAGGATTTATCGTTTGAAGCCACCATATGTATACTGTTGGATTAGACGTAGATACTAGAGCTTACTTTACAGCTGCTACTTTAATTATTGCTGTACCTACAGGAATTAAAATATTCTCTTGATTAGCTACATGTTATGGAGGTTCTATTAAATTAACACCTTCTATGTTATTTGCTTTAGGTTTTGTATTTATGTTTACAATAGGAGGATTAAGTGGTGTAGTTTAGCTAACGCTTCACTTGATATTGCTTTCCACGATACTTACTATGTAGTTGCTCATTTCCATTATGTTTTAAGTATGGGAGCTGTATTCGCTATGTTTAGTGCATGATACTTCTGAGTACCTAAAATCTTAGGTTTAAACTATAACATACTATTATCTAAAATCCAATTCTGAGTTTTATTTATAGGAGTTAATGTAACATTCTTCCCACAACATTTCTTAGGATTACAAGGAATGCCTAGAAGAATAAGTGACTACCCTGACGCTTACGCAGGTTGAAACTTAATAAGTAGTTTTGGATCTATAATTAGTGTTGTAGCTGCTTGATTATTCTTATACATTGTATACCTACAATTAGTTGAAGGAAAACCTGCAAGCAGAAATCCTTGAATGAGTGTAGAATTCTATACAGATACTTTACAAGCTTTATTAAATAGAAGTTCATTAAGTTTAGAATGAGCTTTAACTAGTCCACCTAAACCTCACGCTTTTGTAAGTTTACCTTTACAAAGTAGTATATTAGGGTCTAGATAATTTATCTTAGTAGATTTCATTATAATTTTTTTTCTAAAAAAGATTTAATATTATTTATTAAAAGCCATATTAAATATAAAAGGTTTAATAATGAAAGTTTATAACAACTAGTCTATATAAGACTAAATAATTATATTATAAAATATAATTTTTTACAGATTAGGGCCGGGTGGTTAGGCGCTCCTTTTGGGTAGGAGAAGAGTTGCGTTCGAACCGCAATAATCTGAATGGTTTCTAGAATTAATAGAAATGTAATGGATATAGAATATGTATTTATATAAATATATAAGTATACAAAGAAACTATTATGGACATCTATGCTATGTATTAACGAGTTTGAATTATTTACTCCTTTTTATAAATTTTAAATTATAACTTAGATTTATTAAGTTAAATCATTTATTGTAATTTAAAATAAAAATTATGGAAAACAAATATAAACTCTAAGAGAAATCAGTTAGTTAACGAAGGGATTGAAATATCTTAGTAACTTCAGGAAAAGAAATCAAAAGAGATTCTATTATTAACGTGAGCTAGAATAGAACAGTCTATATATTAAGTAAAACGGTCAAGAAACTGTTTGAATTTAATGGGGAACCTTCCTCAAAGGCTAAATATAATACATGAGCGATAGCGCAAAGTATCATGAGAGAAAGATTAGAAATAGTAGTTTTATAAGCAGTTCAAGCGAAAGTGAGAACGTACCTTTTGCATAATGGGTCACCAAGTTAACATTAGATGCGAGTGAAAGCGCAGATAAACCAATCGTTAAAATAACGAGAAATAATAGTGTCTAAAGTTAGACCCGAAGCCCGGTGATTTTACCACAATCAGGATTATAAAAGTCCGAACGGTTATCGTTGCAAAGATATCCGAAGAATTGTGGTAGGTAGTGAAAGACAAAACTGACCGGGATAGCTGGTTTCTGCGAAACCTATAACAGTAGGCAATTTGAGTCACATCTTAGCAGGTACAGAATTTAATCTCAGACAAGATGTATAAATTTTAAAGTGTAAGCTTTAAAATTACATTATATTTTTGTATATATCGGGGGATCGTGAAGATTTTATCGGTGAGTATGTAGACTCGGAATGGCAAAGATGAATCTTGAATTATCGGACATAGAATGATAAGGTTGTATGTCAAAAGGGAAACAGCCCAGAACAAGAGTTAAGGTTCCAAAATTATTAGTTAAGTGAAATTAAGAAAGTTTTTATTAAAGTCGATAAGGAGATTGGCTTAGAAGCAGCCGTAATTTGAAGATCTCGTAACAGAGCACTTATTAAGTTTTAAAAGCATCGAAAATTTAACGGATCTAAACAATATACCGACACCTTGTCCAATATTCGCAAAAACATAAAGTTGTATGCGAATTAAGGGGTAGCAGAACGTTGGATTAAATTAAGATATTAGATTATAAAAAATATATAACAAATAATTCAAGTGATAATGGTGACATGAGTAACAAATAAGAAGGTCAATACCATTTATTCTTTATTTTCGAATAAGGAAGGTGGTTTTAGATACCTCCGCCTAAAGCTTATGGTTTTGGTATAAAGTAACGGCCTCTAAGTTTATAACCTAAAGGTTTGGACGATGAGAAAATCTTATTTACTAAAAACAACATTTCTAAGTGAGAAGTGTGCTGGAAAAACTGTAAATATATATTTATTAAATAAATATGAAAATAACCGTACCTAGAAACTGCTACAAGTAAGCTAGTAGAGAATACGAAGGCGTTAATGGGCTAACAATCATAAAGGAACTCGGCAAACTAACTACCGTAACTTCGGGACAAGGAGAGCTCATTAGTCTTGATTAATATCAGGTAAAAAGGAAGAAGCATAAAATAGTGTTGTACGACTGTTTAATTAAAACACAGCACTTTGCTAAAAGATGAAAAATCTAAGTATTGAGTGTGATGTCTGCCCGATCCCGGCTGGTTAACAGATACTACTGAATTGTTAAAAGATTTGGTGTTGACGGAACCCCCGGTCAATGGCGGCCTTAACGTGAGGGTCCTAAGGTAGCGAAATGCCTTGCCGTTAAATGCGGTCTTGCATGAATGATGTAACGATACAACAGCTGTCTCTATGATTGACCCAGTGAAATTATAATAACTGTGCAGATACAGTTTACCTCTAGTTAGACGAGAAGACCCTATGCAGCTTTACTGTTACTAATTATAGGATATGCTAGAAAAATTTCAGGTTATAAGGTAAATTGATTAAATAAAAATGAGAATCCTTTATTTCCCTATCATATTCCAGAATTAATTCTTATTCTAAGAATTAACCTAATCTGACTTATATTTATTAATATAAGTAGTAGCCTTGGTAAAGGAATGTATGGCTAGGAGACAGTTTATGTGGGGCACAGACCCCTTAAAGAGTAAAAGGGAGTGTCTAAATATCATAAGTTATAAATTTATAACGGTGTTTGTGGTTTTATGTAGTTCAAGTGTTATTCACTTTCTATATTCAATCTTCTATACTTATTTATAGAAAAGTACCTTTATTGGTACATATAAATAAAGATAAGCAATTTTATTAAGGTACGTTTTTCCCTATAGAGAAAATAGGAGTAGAAAAGAAAAAAGTACGAAAAGTCTTTTTTGAATTAGTTATTTAAATAAAAATAATAATGAGTACTACTTACAAAGCTCAACGGCTAAATCGTGCCTTACTGTTTGATTAACAACAAATCTTACAGTTGCGTAAGCAGGGCATAGGATCACAAGATGCAACAAGGAAAGATCTTGGATTATTGGAAAAGCTACGCTAGGGATGTTTGTCCTTCAATATTTTATTAATTATTGAGAATATTATTGGGTTAATTTCAAGAATTACTTTGAAAATAAGTAAATTTGAAGCGAAATTTATCTTAGCATAAAATTAAAAAGATAAAATCGTTCAACGACTATAAGGTGAGTTATGCTAACAATAATCCTTTTTAACACCCAACATTTTTATTATACATACTTATTAAAAAAAAATAAAAGTAAATTTAAACTATTTTTTTATGAAAAAAAATACAAATCTTAATCTTTTTAATACTAATTTAAATAATAAATTTAAATCTATACCTTTTAAAACAAGATCTAATGATTTAGGAGAAGTAAGATATTTACCTCCTGTTTCAAAAGAATGAAAAAATACGGTATATTCTTATTCTAAACACGATATGAAAAATTTACCTGTATATAATAGTAATGCAAATGAAATAATTAAAGGTTATTTCAATTTGTTTTTTAAAGACCATAAATTTTTAGATTCTAGATTTATAAGTCGTAAAAAACAACGTGAATTTTTAAGAAGAATATATGTAAGTAACATAGAAACAAAACATACAAATTCTAAAATAATAGTAACGTTACATACTTTAAATATAGGTAAAAATATTTTACAAAAAAATTATAGAAATCTATCTAGATTTTTTGATTTTAAAATATTAAGTTATTGAACTCGTAAATTAAATAAAAAAATTAAAACGATAAATTTATTTATGAAACAAAAGCATACTGCTTTAAATAATAATAATAATTTATTAGTTAAATTTAATGATTTAGAAAATAAAAAAAACTTTTTATATTAAAGTATAAATTATTAAGTGAATCTTTAAGTTGATATAATTTATATTTAAAATTATATTTAACTAGAGCTATGAAATTTACATATTATAATAAATTAGATTCTTTAAGAAGATATCAATATAATTACCATCTTAATAAATTTAAGTTTGAAAATAATGTTTTCTTAGGAAAATTAAATACTATCTTATCTAAATTATATAACAATAATATAGAATTTAATATAATAAATCAAAAATCTGTTACACTTAATACAGATATACTTACTGAAATGTTAACTTTAAAAATAAGAAGAGAAAAAACAAATATTGTACCTTTAATTAAAAATGTTTTACAACACTTCAAACTACCAAAAACAAATAGAGTACAAGAAAAAAGTGGTTGAATTAAAACTAGTAGTACTTCATTACTAGAAAATAAATATAAAAATTCAAGTTTAATTTCTATATTAAATAAAAATAATTTAAATATAGACGAAAACTGTTCTTTAAATGAATTATTAAAAGAAATAACTAACTATTCTTCAAAATCTTTTGTTTCAAACGGGAATATAAATAATGTATCAAATAAGCAAGATTATAATAATATTTCTAATATAATTTTTAATTCTATAAAATATAAAAATTTAGAAGGAGTAAGATTACAAGCTAAAGGTAGATTAAGTAGACCAGGTAGAGCAGATCGTTCTCAAATAAAATTAGGATGAAAAGGAGGATTAAAAAACATAGAGGCTTCTTATAAAGGATTGTCAACAGTAACATATAGAGGTTTTGATAAACCAAATATAAGTTATTCAGTAAGTAATTCTAAACGTAGTGCAGGAGCCTTTGCAATAAGAGGTTGAGTAAGTGGAAAATAAGTATATTTATAATCAATTGATTATAAATAAAGTATAAAAATAAAAATGAAGACATAGTCTGAACCATTTTGTGAAAAATGGAAATAAAAAAAAGTTTTTTTATGATAACATGTAGAACAGGCTAATTTGCGCAAGAGTGTACAAAATGAGTGCGCGGTTTGGCACCTCGATGTCGGCTTAACTTATCCTCATGGACGCAGCAACTATGTAGGGTACGACTGTTCGTCGATTAAAAAGTTACACGAGCTGGGTTAAATACGTCGTGAGACAGTATGGTTTCTATCTTCTAGAGGGAATTGGAATAAAATAAGGATTAACCTTTGTACGAAAGGAACAGGAAAAACTTAACTCTAAAAAAGTCAAGTATTATTAATTGTTAATCTATGGTTTACCTGTTGTTTATATGCCCAATATTAATATTTTGTAAAAGCTATTTTACAAGGGATGTTACTCTCACTTAAGTAAATACATATTATAAGCATGGCAGGAAAGCTAAGTTAGTTAAAGATAAGTGCTGAAAGCATATAGGCACGAAGCTTACCTTAAGATATTTCTAATATATAATCGTAATATAATATTACAGCATAAAAATCTTAGTATTAAGATTATTATTATATTGTTTTCAATATAATATTTTTTGCAATAGGCTTTTGTTGTAAGAATCTAGAGATTTTGAGACGAAAAGTACTAATTAAAAAAATAACTATTTATTAATATATCTTACATTAAAAATTTGCTTGATTAGTATAAAAGTATTATAATTGTTTTGTAATCAATAGAAGTAAGTGCGATACTTGCATCAGGCTTTTATAGGATTAGTAGTCAAGTGGTTAAGACATAGCTCTTTCAATGCTACATACGCGGGTTCAAACCCCGCCTAGTCTAATTTCTATTTGTGGGTTGATGTAATAGTAACATATTTGGCTCATGACCAAAAGTCAGAGGTGCAAATCCTTTATCCGCATAAAGAGGCTATAGCTTAATTGGTAAAGTGTACTGCTCATGACAGTACTTATAAGTGTTCAACTCACTTTAGCCTTAAATCCGAGTGCTGGAATCGGTAGACAGGGTATTCTTAAACAATACTGATGAAATTTCGTGAAAGTTCAAGTCTTTCTTCGGATACGGGGCGATAATTTAGTTGGTAAAATGATAATTTTGCGTATTATATTCCCAGGTTCGATTCCTGGTCACTCCACAACAAGCTCGTGAAGCTCAATTGGTCGAGCAAAATATTGAAGCTATTTGGGTTGTAAGTTCAAGTCTTATCACGAGCAAAAAAAGGGTGATGATGAAATTGGTAGACATGAATAGTTTAGGACTATTTGATTTCAAATCATATCCGTTCAAGTCGGGTTCACCTTACTATGTTGTGGACTAATGGGTAAGTCATAAATTTTTGATATTTACTATTAAGTGTTCGAATCACTTCAACATAATTTTAAGGTGGATATAGATCAATCGGTAGATCAACTGTTTGTGGTACAGTCTGTTCCCTGTTCGAGCCAGGGTATTCACCCTTCAAACCCGGATAGTTTAAGTGGTTAAAACTTTAATTTCATGCGTTAAGAATGAGAATTCAAATTTCTCTCCTGGTTCAAAATGATAGTAGTTTCAATTTTATTTATATTACTTTCCAATGCCGTTACTTTAAGACGAGATGTATCAATACTATTCAATAGAGTAGCTATTTTAGCTTTAACTTACTGTATTTTACAAGATATGGTGAGTTTATCTATTGTAAGTAAAGGTATAGGGTTACATGGAGGTTTACTTCATATAACTAATATTACACAAATTTTCCATATATTTATTTTTTTTATTACTATATTAATTTTACAATTAACTAGTTTTCATCCTAGAAAAGTTTGAATTCCTGAATATTCATCTTTATCAGATTTATTAAATTCTAAACTTGTTTATTATAGAACTAAAATTATAAATAAAATGGGAGAACATTTAAAAATTATAGAATATCCCTTAATATTATTATTTGTTAATTTAGGTGGAGTTTTCTTAATGTCAACTAATGATTTAGTGTCTATTTTCCTTTCAATAGAATTACAAAGTTATGGTTTATATATTGTAAGTACAATATATAGAAATTCTGAGTCATCTACTACTGGAGGTTTAATTTACTTTTTATTAGGTGGATTAAGTTCATGTTTTATTTTATTAGGTACAGCTTTATTATATGCTAATTCTGGTACTACAAACTTAGATGGTTTATATATAATTAACAGTATAAGCGATTTTAGTGATATGACTTATTGATATAAACCTTATTATATTAATTTTTCTTTATTAGTGTTTAGTATAGGATTCTTATTTAAAATAGGTGCTGCTCCATTCCATTTTTGATCTCCTGATGTTTATGACGCTATACCTACTATAGTTACAACATTTGTAGCTATAGTTGCGAAAATTTCTATATTAATTTTCTTATTAGAATTAGTTTATTATACAAGTAATAGTTTTTCTGATCTAAATTGAACTTTTAGTTTAATAATAAGTTCATTATTTTCACTTATTATTGGGACAGTTGTTGGTTTAACACAATTTAGAATTAAAAGATTATTTGCTTATAGTACTATTTCTCATGTAGGTTATATGTTATTAGCTTTAGGAATATCAAGTATAGAATCTACTCAAGCATTTATATTTTATTTAACACAATATTCTATAAGTAATTTAAATGCTTTTGTTATATTAATAGCTATAGGATTTTCTTTCTATCGTTATGTAAGTGATAATAAAGAACATAAAGAACTTTTAGATAAAAATAATTCTCCTTTACAATTAGTTAGTCAATTAAGAGGTTACTTTTATATAAATCCTTTATTATCTATAAGTTTAGCTATTACAATATTCTCTTTCATGGGTATACCTCCTCTTGTAGGATTCTTTGGAAAACAAATGGTATTAAGTGCAGCTTTAGATAAAGGATATATATTTATAACTTTAGTTGCTATCTTAACTAGTGTTGTAGGAGGAGTTTATTATTTAACTATAATAAAAGAAATTTTCTTCTATTCACCTACATATAAAATTAACCCTTTACTAGAAAATTTAAATATACCTGGTAAAATTGAACCTAGTTCTAAAGAAGTTAATATTAAGCATGATAATATAGTTATAGCTAGTCCTATAGCATTTATTATTTCTGTTATTACTTTAATAATATTATTATTTATATTTATAAATAAAGAATGATTAAGCATGGGTACCATATTGGTACATATTTTATTTAATTATTAAATGAGTAGTATGACTTTTTTTTTTATTCTTGTGTGTATAATAGCTATACTTTTTTTAGTTCTTAATTTTGTTTTTGCACCTCATAACCCTTATCAAGAAAAATATAGTATTTTTGAATGTGGTTTTCATAGTTTCTTAGGTCAAAATAGAACACAATTTGGTATAAAGTTCTTTATATTTGGTTTAGTTTATTTATTATTAGATTTAGAAATTATATCTATATATCCCTATGGTGTTAGTGAATATGATAATGGTATATATGGTTTAGCCATTGTACTTATTTTCACTCTTATTATAACTGTAGGATTTGTATTTGAATTAAGTAAAAATGCTTTAAAAATAGATAGTAGACAATCTCTTACTAATTTAAAAAAATCTAATACATATTTAGATACTTTCTCAGAAAAATAATATCGTGTTTTTTTTTCAAAAAATTATTTATTAGTTGAAGAGAATATTTTTGTATAAATTCTTTACAATAATTTTTCAGTCAACCTTTTATATCTAATTAGATTCTTTAACTTAATCGGTAGAGTGCATTTTTGATAAGAATGTGATCCAAGTTCGATTCTTGGAAGAATTATTAAAATATATAAGAGATTTGACCGAGTGGACGATGGTGGTAACCTTGAGTTTTATTAAGAAGCAATTCTTCATGGGTTCGAATCCCATATTCTCTGTTTTAATTTAATTTGATATTAATTGTAATTAATTTCTCATTAGCTCAATGGTAGAGCAGAATACTTCTAATATTCCGATTCTAGTTCGAATCTAGGATGAGAGTTGGATTTTATTCCTTTTTAAATAAATTATAATTAACAACCTAATATTAGGATTACCTTTTTTTTTTATATTGTTTTTTTATAAAGTTTTGTATTTTCTATATGTAACACTTTACATTTATTACTTGCTTTATTTCAAAATAATTATAAATTAAATCAAAAATTTAAACTAAATGTTTTATACATCTACTCTTTTATCTATATTAGAAGTAATATTACTTATATTACCTGCTTTATTAGCTGTAGCTTTTGTAACAGTAGCTGAAAGAAAAACAATGGCTAGCATGCAAAGAAGACTAGGACCTAATGCCGTAGGGTATTACGGACTACTTCAAGCTTTTGCGGATGCTTTAAAATTAATTTTAAAAGAATATGTAGCACCAACACAAGCTAACACTATTCTATTTTTCTTAGGTCCTGTTATTACACTAGTTTTTGCTTTATTAGGTTACGCAGTAATACTTACGGACCTGGTTTAGTTTTAAACGACATGGAACTTGGTATATTATATATGTTAGCTGTTTCATCATTAGGGACATATGGTATTTTATTAGCAGGATGAAGTGCTAATAGTAAATATGCATTCTTAGGTTCTCTTAGAAGTACAGCCCAATTAATTAGTTACGAACTTGTTTTAAGTTCAGCAATTTTATTAATAATTATGATTACTAGTAGTCTTAATTTAAATATGAACATACAAGCTCAAAAAGCAGTATGACTTTTATTACCATTATTCCCTGTTTTCTTAATATTCTTTATAGGTACTATAGCTGAAACAAATAGAGCTCCTTTTGATTTAGCTGAGGCTGAATCTGAATTAGTTAGTGGATTTATGACAGAACACGCGGCAGTTGTGTTTGTATTCTTTTTCTTAGCTGAATATGGTAGTATCTTATTAATGTGTATATTAACTAGTATTCTTTTCATAGGAGGATACTTATCAGGATTTGACCTAATTTACTGATTTAATACTATAAATAATATTTGAGCATATATTTTCGATATTGATTGAGTAGTATCTTCAGAATACTATACTATAAAAAATTATGTAGCTAGTTTTGCTGAAAGTGGTCTTTTCTATGGTATTATTATAGGATTAAAAAGTGCTATTTTTGTATTTGTTTTCATATGAGTAAGAGCGTCATTCCCTAGAATACGTTTTGATCAATTAATGTCATTCTGTTGAACAGTATTATTACCATTAATGTTTGCATTTATTGTTTTATTACCTTGTACTTTATATTCATTTGATGTATTTGTACTAAATATAGCTATATAATATAAAAATTAATAGTAATTAAATTAATAACTTTATTATAAATTAATTGTTTTAATTTAATTATATTATTAGAAACATTAGTAATATACTGTAAAATAATATATTACTAATTTCGTCATATAATCATAGTATATGATGTGAACTATGTCTTATCAAAATTATATTAAAAAAAATGTTATTATCTCTTTTACTTATTATTCCTATAATAGGAATATTTATTATATCTAATTTAAAAGCTTATTCTGTAGGTTCATCTTTAATTGAAGCAGAAAATACTCAAAAAATAAAAGTTATAGCTTTAGTTACAGCTAGTGTAAATATGATTTTATCTTTTGTTGTTTATGTATTTTTTAATTCAAGTAGCAATCAATATCAATTTGTACAAGAACATTATAATATACAATCATTTGATATTTATCTAGGTGTAGATGGAATTTCTATTTATTTCGTTTTATTAACAACAATAATAATGCCAATCGCATTATTAGCTAACTGAAACTCAATAAAAGAAAATTTAAAATTTTATTTAATAACTATATTATTATTAGAAACATTATTACTTGCAGTATTTATGGTTTTAGATATATTATTATTTTATATTTTTTTTGAAAGTATATTACCACCTTTATTTTTATTAATTGGTTTATTCGGATCAAGTAATAAAGTTAGAGCTAGTTATTATTTTTTCTTATATACATTATGAGGATCTTTATTCTTATTATTATCTATTTTAACTATGTATTCTATAATGGGTACAACAGATTTTGATGCCTTATTTAAAACAAATTTTGACTATACAATGCAATTTGTATTATTTGGTGGTGTATTTATAGCTTTTGCTGTAAAAACTCCTACAATATTTTTAAATAATTGATTATTAAAAGCTCACGTTGAATCTCCTTTAGGTGGAAGTATAATACTAGCAGGTATTGTATTAAAATTAAGTTTATACGGTATATTTAGATTAATATTACCTATATTACCTAAAGCTACTTTAGATCTTACTTTTATAGTATATACTATAGGTGTAATTACTATTTTATACGCAAGTTTTAGTACATTAAGAACTGTAGATGTTAAAGAATTAATTGCTTACAGTTCTGTTTCTCATGCTGCTGTATATTTAATAGGTGCATTCAGTAATACAATACAAGGTATAGAAGGAAGTATAACTTTAGGTTTAGCTCACGGATTTGTATCTAGTGGTTTATTTATATGTGCAGGTGGAATATTATATGACAGATCTGGAACTAGAATGATTTATTTATACAGAGGTGTAGCTCAACTTATGCCTTTATTCTCTATATTATTCTTTATCTTATCATTAGGAAATTGTGGTGCTCCTTTAACATTAAACTTTATAGGAGAATTTATGTCTCTTTACGGAGTGTTTGAAAAATTACCTGTATTAGGTCTATTTGCCGCTACTTCTATTGTATTCTCCGCTGCATATACTATATATATGTTTAATAGAATTACATTTGGAGGTTCTTTCACTAAATTCTTTGAAGAAAATATTTCTGATACAACAAAAAGAGAATTTACATTATTATTAGTTCTTGTTTTATTTACAGTTATCCTTGGAATATACCCTTCTTTAATCTTAGACAGCTTACATTATCCTGTAGTTAATTTAATTTATAGCTTTCAATCTATATAATACATTATACTAAAAAATTATTTATTAAGATAATTTAGAATAAATATATTTATTCTCGTTATTCTTTTAATTCAATACGAACCAAAGGTTAAAAACCTATAATTAAAATAGTTTTATATTAAACATAAATACAAAGTATTCAATAAAAATTAAAAAACACAACACAATGCCTCAATTAGTACCTTTTTATTTTATGAATGAAGTAGTATATGGTTTTGCTGTAATAGTAATAGTACATTACATATTATCAAAATACATATTACCTAGAATAATTAATTTATTTATATCTCGTTTATTTACAGTATTATTAGCTGACTTAGGAAACGAATTATCTTGATAATATTAAATTATGAAATTAATATTAGTTTATAATATTATGCAAACAATCTGATTTTTAAAGGCTTACATTAAATAGTACTTAATGTACAATTTGAATACAAATATTTTATTAAATACAGAAATTACTAGTCCTCTAGACCAATTTGAAATAAGAGACCTATTAAGTATAGACGCTCCTATTTTTAACCATTTACATATATCTTTAACTAACATAGGATTATACTTAGTAATAGGACTTATCCTTATATTATCTCTTAGTATCTTAACTACAAATAATAATAAATTAGGAAGTAGTAGATGATCTATTAGCCAAGAATCTTTATACGCAACAATTCATAGTATAGTTGTAAATCAAATTAACCCTAAAAGCGGTCAAATTTATTTCCCATTTATTTATACTTTATTTATTTTCGTTTTAATAAATAATTTAATAGGATTGGTACCATATAGTTTTGCAGCTACAAGTCATTTTATTTTAACTTTTGCTCTTAGTTTTACTATAGTTTTAGGTGCAACTATATTAGGATTCCAAAACTATGGATTAAAATTCTTTTCTTTATTAGTTCCAGCTGGTTGTCCTTTACCTTTATTACCATTATTAGTTTTAATAGAATTTATATCTTATTTAGCTCGTAATGTTTCTCTTGGATTAAGATTAGCTGCTAATATCCTTTCAGGTCATATGTTATTAAACATATTAGCTGGATTTACCAACAACATAATGACTTCAGGTATTACTTTCTTCTTCTTAGGATTAACTAAATTAGGATTTGAAGTCTCTATCGCCCAAACACAACTACGAATCAACCAGCTCCGTCCCAACCGGGC